GCTCTGAGGACCCGCTGGAGCGCGGCTTCCTGTACTGCGGCCAGGCTCGAGGCAGCCCCGCCAGGGTCAGCAGCAACGCCAAGGCCAAGCCCGAGTCCGTGTCCACCTGCTCCGTGACCTCACCTGACGACATGTCCACCAAGTCGGATGACTCCTTCCACAGCCTGCACGGCAGCTTGCCGCTCGACAGCTTCTCCAAGTTCGTGGCGGGCGAGCAGGACTGCCCGCGGCTGCTGCTCAGCGCCCTGGCGCAGGAGGACCTGGCCTCCGAGATCCTGGGGCTGCAGGAGGCCATCGGCGAGAAGGCCGACAAGGCGTGGGCCCCGCTGCCCGGCCTCGCCAAGGATGCCAGCAAGCCCTTCTCGCTGGAGAGCCACGGCGCCTGCCTGGACTCCGTGGCCAAGAGCGCGTGGCCACGGCCAGGGGAGCCCGAGGCCGTGCCCGAGGCCTTACAGCTGGACAAGGGTGGCAACGCCAAGGACTTCAGCCCAGGGCTGTTTGAAGACCCTTCTGTGGGTGTCGTCACCCCGGACCCCAAGAAGACAACTGGCCCCCTCTCCTTTGGCCCCGGGCCCAGCCTCGGGGCTGCCACTTCAGACCCCACAGCAGCTTTTGACTGCTTCCCCGATACAGCCGCCACCGGCTCAGCGGACAGTGCCAACCCCTTCTCCTGGCCCGAGGAGAACCTGGGGGATGCTTGTCCTCGGTGGGGGCTGCACCCCAGCGAGCTCCCCAAGGCTCTGGAGCAGGGTGGGAAGGCCTCGGATGGCGTCGGCAAGGAGAATGCCCACGAGGCCTCAGCCTGCCTGGGCTTCCGGGAGGAGGAGCCGGGGGAGAAGGCCACAGTGCCCCAGGACTCCAAGCAGGAGGAGGCGGGTGGGGTGAAGGAGGAGGCGGGCGGGCTGCTGCAGTGCCCTGAGGTAGGCAAAGCCGACGCGTGGCTGGAGGACAGCCGGCACTGCTGCGCCGCCACAGACTTCGGGGACCTCCCGCTGCTGCCGGCCCCTGGCAGGAAGGAGGACCTGGAGGCTGAGGAGGAGTACTCGTCCCTGTGTGAGCTCCTGGGCAGCCCCGGGCAGAGGCCCAGCGTGCAGGACCCGCTGTCGCCGAAGGCTCCGCTGATGTGCACCAAGGAGGAGGTGGAGGAGGTGCTGGACCCCAAGGCCGGCTGGGGCTCTCCCTGCCACCTCTCCGGAGAGTCTGTCCTCCTGCTGGGTCCCACCGTGGGCGCCGAGTCGAAGGTGCAGAGCTGGTTTGAGTCCTCCTTGTCCCACATGAAGCCCGGGGAAGAGGGGCCCAATGGGGCATTGACTCGGGGTGATCCCGCCACCCTGGCCCCCGAGACCTCCTTGGTCCAGAAGCCAAACAAGCCCGCTGTCCCCGAGGCGCCCATTGCTAAGAGAGAGCCCGTGCCACGGGGCAAAAGCTTGCGGAGCCGGCGGGTGCATCGGGGGCTCCCCGAGGCTGAGGACTCCCCGTGCAGGGCGCCAGTTCTGCCCAAAGACTTCCTGCTTCCAGAATCCTGCATGGGGCCCCCCCAGGGACAGATGGAAGGGGCAGGGGCCCCGGGCCGGGGGGCCTCGGAAGGGCTCCCCCGGATGTGCACCCGCTCCTTCACAGCCCTGAGTGAGCCCCGCACACCTGGACCCCCAGGACTGACCACCACTCCTGCCCCCCCAGACAAACTGGGGGGCAAGCAGCGAGCTGCCTTCAAGTCTGGCAAGCGGGTCGGGAAGCCCTCCCCCAAGGCAGCGTCCAGCCCCAGTAACCCTGCTGCCCTGCCCGTCGCGTCCGACAGCAGCCCCCTGGGCTCCAAGACCAAGGAGACGGACTCACCCAGCACGCCCGGCAGAGACCAGCGCTCCATGATCCTGCGGTCCCGCAGCAAGACCCAGGAGGCCTTCCCCTGCAAGCGGCGGCCCTCGGAGAGCCGGGTCCCCAGCTGCCGTGCCACCAAGAGGCTCCTTGCCAGCAGCCACCTGCCTGCCACATTCAAGGTCTCTGGCAACTCCCAGAAGGAGGGCCGGGCCAGCCCGCGGGCGAGGGCCCCCAAGCCCAGTGCAGGTGGCAAGCTGTCTGACCGGCCCCTCCACGCACTCAAAAGGAAGTCGGCCTTCATGGCGCCAGTCCCCACCAAGAGGCGGAACCTGGCCTTACGGAGCAGCGGCGGCGATGCCGGTGGCGGCCGGGGGGACATGAAGGAGGAACAGGCTGAGGGCTCCCCCACCCTCTTCAAGAGGATGTCTTCTCCCAAGAAAGCCAAGCCCGCCAAGGGCACTAGCGAGCTCACCCCGAAGCCCCCGCCCCCGGAGACCCCTGACACCTGTCCGAAGCTGGCCTCGCGGGTGGCCTGCCAGGGAGCCATGAAGACCAAGGTGCTGCCGCCCCGGAAAGGCCGGGGCCTGAAGCTGGAGGCCATTGTGCAGAAGATCACCTCGCCCAACCTGAAAAAGTTTGCCTGCAAAGTGCCAGGGGCCACCCCTGGGAGCCCCCTGAGCCCGCCCCTCCCTGAGAAGGACTGTGGGCTCAAGGGCGCCAGGGGCAGCCCGGGCGGGGCGGGAGGACTCCTGAGTGTGGGCACCGGGCAGAAGCTCCTGGCAGCTTCAGGGACCGACCCGTTTTGCAGAAATACATCCAACAGATCCTTCAAAGGCAAACTCATCAATAGTAAGAAACTGTCCTCAACTGACTGTTTCAAAACCGAGGACTTCACGTCCCCAGAGGCCCTGCCCCTCAGCAGGACGGTCCTGGCGCCGAAGAAGAGAAGCCGGAAAGGCAGGGCCGGAGCCCTGGGGCTCCCCAAAGGCCCCCCGGAGAAGCAGCCCCATGCAGGCCCTGCTCTGCTCTTGACTCCCCGAGACAGGGCCAGCAGCATGCAGGGTGGCGGTGAGGACAGCCCTGGTGGAGGAAGCAAGAAGCCAAAGGTGGAGGAGCTGGGCCTGGCCCCCCAGCCCCCTGAGAGCAGGTCCTGCCAGCCCCAGATGAGGGCGCAGAAGCAGCCGGGCCACGCCAACTGCAGCAACTATTCCAAGCGAAAGCGCCTCACTCGGGGCCGCGCCAAGAATACCAGCTCCTCACCCTGTAAGGGGCGTGCCAAGCGGCGGCGGCAGCAGCAGCAGGCGCTGCCTCTGGATCCTGCAGAGCCTGAAATCCGCCTCAAGTACATTTCCGCGTGCAAGCGGCTGCGGGCAGACAGCCGCGCCCCGGCCTTCTCGCCTTTCGTGCGGGTGGAGAAGCGAGATGCATTCACCACTGTATGCACTGTTGTCAACTCCCCTGGGGAGGAGCCCAAGCCCCACAGGAAACCTGCCTCCTCTGCCTCCTCGTCCTCGTCCTCGTCCTCCCTGGACGCAGCTGGGGCCTCCCTGGCCACGCTCCCGGGAGGCTCTGTCCTGCAGCCCCGGCCCTCTCTGCCTCTCTCCTCCACCATGCGTCTGGGGCCCGTGGTCTCCAAGGCCCTGAGTACCTCTTGCCTTGTTTGCTGCCTCTGCCAAAACCCGGCCAACTTCAAGGACCTCGGGGACCTCTGTGGGCCCTACTACCCCGAACACTGCCTCCCCAAAAAGAAGCCAAAACTCAAGGAGAAGGTGCGGCTGGAGGGCACCTGTGAGGAGGCCTCGCTGCCCCTCGAGAGAACACTCAAGGGCCTTGAGTGTGCAGCCGCCGTCGCTGCCAGCAAAGCCCCCAGGCCCGACGGCTCTGCTGACCTGGCCAAGCAGGGTTCGCTGCGCACCAGTGCCCGGGGCCTGTCCCGGAGGCTGCAGAGCTGCTACTGCTGTGACGGGCGAGGGGACGGCGGTGAGGAGGTGGCCCCAGTGGCTGACAAGACCCGCAAGCATGAGTGCAGCAAGGAGGCCCCCGCAGAGCCTGGCGGGGACACCCAGGAGCACTGGGTGCACGAGGCCTGCGCTGTGTGGACGGGTGGGGTCTACCTGGTGGCCGGGAAGCTCTTTGGGCTGCAGGAGGCCATGAAGGTGGCCTTGGACATGGTAAGAGGCCAGCCCCACCGGGGTGGGGGGGCCCGGGTCCCACAGGACAGGCAGTCAGGGAGCCCCTGCCTCTCCAGCACAACGACTGGGGCCGATCAGCACATGACCAAGTATTCGGAGGAGCTGGGGCAGTTGGAGCACCCATGAGGCCGAGCACTGCCCCGCCTTGCCCAGGCTTGCCACTGCGGCCCCTCGCTGCCCAGTGCCCAGCTCTGGGCCCGGCTGGCCTCACATGCTCATGGAATCAGCCGAGATGCTGAGGCTCAGAGGATGGGGCGCCTCCCAGAATTGAATGTCAGGGTGCCCACAGAGCAGGCCCCCCTGGCACCAGCACCTCAGGCAGCGGGTGGGGACTTGGGGACAAGCCCCTCAGACAACATGAGATGGGGCGTGTCCCTCCGCGAGCCCCCCAGGCAGGTCCAGGGACCCCATAAACGGGGCTCAGAGCCCCTTGGCTGACACCTTGGTTCCGGTCCCAGCACTGCCCTCGACGTCACCTGGCTCTCCCCAGCGCGTCTCCAGGGCGGGAGGATGAAGTGAGTCAGTGGCGGTGAAGGTTGCACAAGCCACGCCCGGCCTGTCTGAGTGCCCTTGACGTTCCTGGGCTAGAACTAGGGACAGCAGCGGGAGCCCGGTCCCCTCAGGGTGACGCCCGCTTGGGGTGCCCGGGGCTGCTTGCACTCCCCTCCGAGGGCTGCAGAGGGCATGAGAGACTTGGCAGCCGTCAGCAGAAGGCACCTGGGCCAGGGCCAGGGCCAGGGCCGGGGCTCAGCATTCTCTCCCTGAGGCCGAGCTCCAGCCCAGCCCCGGGCTCTCGCCCTCACCTCCTCGGCCCACCTCCACGCGGCCTGCCCCTCCCCGCCGGCTCACCTGCCCTTTGCCGCCCCTCTCGTGCCCACCCCTGGCTGTGGGCCAGCCGCTGCCGCTGCCTCCTGTGCCTGGGCTCCCCCTGCGTGGGGACACAGGCGGCTGCGCGCCCAGAGGTCCTGCCACTGGCCTCCATCCTCACGGAGGACACCTGGCCCCACAGGACACCGCTGCTCCCTTCTCGGCTGTGGACAGCGGCCGCCCTGGCGCCCCCTCCCTCCTCACGCGTTACTTCCTCCTCCTGCTGTCTGGGCATCGGCTCCTCGCAGCGTCCTGAAGTAGGTCCAGGCCTCCTGGTGCTGGAAAGAATACCAGCCTCAGGCCCCAGGCCCGCCCGCCCTCCCGCCCTG